GATCATACATAAATTTTAATTAATTATGATATTAATAAAAAAGGAGTGACAATTAATTAATTTAAAAGAATTAAATCCAAAATTCAAGAGTAAAAATGAAATATTTTGAAAATTAGAGATTAAATATAAAATTAACTCGAAATTAATAAATATTTTGAAATATAGTGACCAAATAGAAAAACTCGAAAATCAAAAATGTATATATATATATATATATTCTAATTGTTTAAAATAAAAAAATGAGAAAAAAGGAAAAAAAAATGTGACCTCTTGCTTTGAAGGCGGGGAGAGATGAACGTGAGTGCATAAAGAGCTAAGAAGAAGAAGCTTAGAGACATCAGAGCAACAGAAGAAGATTTTGCTGCACCCTTTGTTCCTCTCAATTGCCCATTTTACATACATTAGGGTTTCATTTGATAGCTGATCTGCTTCACATAACAATATCCCTACACCCATGCATTATAAATGTTGTAAGTAGCATATTATGCCTCGTTCACCTATGTTCGGTCCTTCTATCAGCCTCGAAATAAAAGAGCAGACATTTGAATCAACAACAATAGAAATTCTCGAGCTATGTTTAGGTCAATAGTTAAACTTATGACCTATCATGTAACAGCCCAAGTATATCGCTAACATATATTGTCCACTTTACCTCGTTATATATCGTCATTAGCCTCACGGTTTTAAAACGCATATGTTTCGTTCCTCTCTCCAATTGATGTAAAATCTCACAATCCAGTCCACCCCCTTGGGGACCAGCGTTCTCACTAGCACACCGTTCAGTGTCTAGCTCTGATACCATTTATAACAACTCGAGCCCACTACTAGCATACATTGTCCGCTTTGACCCGTTACATATCATCGTTAGCCTCACTTTTTTTTAAAATGTGTTTACTAGAGAGAAGTTTCTGCACCGTTATAAGAAATGTTTCGTTCCCCTCTTCAACCGATGTGGGATCTCACAATTCAATCCACCCCCTTACGGACCAGCGTCCTCATTGGCACACCGCTCAGTGTCTAGCTCTGCATACCATTTATAACAACTCAAGCCCATCACTAGTATATATTATCAGCTTTGGTCGATTACGTATCATCGTTAGCCTCACAATTTCTTTAAAATGTGTCTATTAGAGAGAAGTTTCTATACCATTATAAGGAATGGTTCGTTCACCTCTATCTCACACATTCATAAAACATTAAGAATCAAATACGAAAAATGAAAATTTGAACATATGATAACCAATCATAAAAAGACAAATATTAATAAATCGACTCTTTACGGATTTTTTTTCTAATTCAAACTCTTCACTCTTTAACTAATGATATATGTTTTAACCCGTTGGACTATGTTCAAATTGAAATTTTTTACTATATAGTCGATATATATTTAGATAAAAAAAATACGATTAATTAGTTAAATTAACGCATGTACGTAGTACCTCGACATCTGGCATGATTACATGGCAAAGGGGATTGAGTTTCTTTGATGAGCTGGTCAATGACTTGTTTCTCAAAGCCTTTGGTTTGTGAGAGATTGACTTCCACACAATGAGATGATTCCTTCACCTTTACTTCAATGCTCCCCACCATTTCACTCTGCCACGTCACACAGCTTCAACTTATTTAACCAACACCCCTCCACGTCATTAAATCCATTCTTCTTTTTATAGCAAGTTTAATTAAATGAAAAGAAAAAAAGAACAAAAATATTATTTAAATGTAAAAAAACATTTTTAAAATATAGAGGTAGAGTTTGTAATTGCATGGTCCTTAAGGGGCACACTTGTAATTCAACCAAAGAATATATATATATATACACATAAAAGGGAAAATAAAACCCACCTTCAAGGCAAAAACTCTACCAACTTCCTTAACCTGTGGAGAAATAAAAGAATAAATAAATAAATAAAAGAGTAAGCCAAATTCCATATTTAAAATATAAAAGGAAAACTATAAATATAAGACAATAATAGAAAAATGAGTTAATTCCAATTATATCCCTATCTTGAGAATTTCCTAATTTATAAAATTTTAATTATTTCAAATAATTCAATAAAATAGAATCATAGAACTCGAGCCCAACTAAAAAAAACAATACTCGAGATATTGTTCACTTTGAGCATAAGCTCTCATGATTTTGTTTTGAGATTCCCCAAAAGTCCTCATATATATTAATGAAGATAGTATTCCTCACTTATAAACTCATGATCTTCCACTAAATTAACCAATGTGGGACTCATTCCCAATAATCCTCAACAATCCTCCCCTCGAACAAAGTACATTATAAGCCTCCTCTAAGACTTATGGAGCTCTCGAATAGCCTCTCTTTAATTGAGGCTTGACTTCTTTCTTTGAAGCCCTCGAACAATATCACCGTGTAAGTATATTTCTACACATCACCATTAAATTTTTTACAATTTATCATAACAATACTAAACTACATCTAGAGATGTATAGGACGGTGACCCCGACAAGGAAGCCTTTATCATTGAAATATTAAATTGAATAATAATTTCATATAAAAAATAAAATATAATTTTTAAAAACTAAAATTTTAATGTCACACCTAGTCTTCTATGATACGGAAATGATATAATAAGATAAGAGATTAATTAAGGCATACTGACAATACACCTCCATTGCTTGTTCACCGAAAGCCTGTCTGAGCATAGCTTGAATCATCGTCCTTTTCCCAACTCCCGGCGGTCCTTCGAATATATAATGCCCACAACCCTTCTCCTCCACCACTTTCTTCAACTCACACGCCGTTTGCCGATTGCATATAAAATCCTCCAGCACTTTTGGCCTGTACTTATCCCCCCACGTGTACCTTTCCTTCTCCTTCTCCTTCTCCGACGCCTCCCCTCCGCCGTCCACCCCCACTCCACTCCTTCCCTCTCTCCGCCCGTACATTACTAATCTCTCCCTCAACAGCTTCTCTTCCTTCTCCGTCGCCAACCGCTCAATCTTCTCCGGAGACGACGAAGTAGCCAACGACGTCGTTTTACCAACAACTGTTGTCGTCGTTGGAGTTTCGTGTTGATGATGAGCTGGCGGCTTCTTATTGGGTTTTCCTATGAGGCATGGGGCCCACTCCTTGAGTTTGGAAACGACGGCGTATGAGAGAGAGGTTTGAGTTTGGGCCGTGGTTGTTGAGCTGGCGTAGTGGTGGGGACCAGTGGTGACGTGGGTGGTGGTGAGTGGGCCATGGTGGTAATTGATGGCGAGGGAGGAGTCAGTGAGGCCGCGGTAATAAGGGCTGGATTTAAGGGGGGTTTTATCGAGGTCGTCGATTCGTTCGTTGTGGGCTTGGAGGCTTTCTTCCGTCAAGTCGGAGTTCCGGGAGAAGAGGTTCAGGCGGGCTAGGAGTTTGGCTAGCTTTGTGGACCAGGAGGATTTTGAGGAGGAGGAGGCTGTGGAGATGCTCCAATGGCGGCGTTGGCGGCGGCGCGTGTTGGAGTCTGACAAGGAGCGGCGGAGAGAGGAAGAGGAGGAGAAGTTGGGTTGTTGTTGTGTGGCAGCCATGAAGATCAAGTCGGGAGGAGGAGACGGCGGAGGAGATCAGGAGAGATGAAAAAGTCGTACGTTTCCATTTGAAAGGGAGAGAAAAGGCTGGGAATGAGAAATGAGGTTTATAGGAAAGTTTTGAAAAAAAAGAGTATATTCTTTTTAACAAATTATTATTATATTTTAAAAAGTATCTTATAAATTAACTAATATTAAATTCAAACAAAATTAAAATTAAAACACACAATAAAGTATTAAATGACAAGATTTTAAATAAACTTTTACCTTTTAAATTAAAATTAAATTTAGTGATTTATTAAATAAACTTAAAATTAAAATAATTTTTAAACCAAATTTAAAATATTATATATAATACCCAATTTTTATAAAATATGTTGAACAAAACTTGAGAATCTATTAAATTAAAATAAAATAAAATATAATTTTAAATTTAAATATTTAATTATTTTAATGGGAGCCGATATTGTTTGGAGGGGGTGGAGAATACAAAGGAGGCGATAAAAGCCATGCATAATTTTCAACAGCTTTGTTTGCGTTTCCGGAGGCAGGCGGAATAAGCAATGGATCGAGTTTGAATTTTCAATTTAATTTAATTTTTTTATAAGCTATCAGTAATAGTTGTAGTTCAATAATTTAAATATAAATCATCCGTCCAAATATTAGAAATTCAATTTTTTAATTTAAAATTTTTTGAGTTGTTGATTTGATTTATATTATTATTACGTCTTATTTAAATAAAAAATTCATTAATTAAAGATTGAAACTGAAATACGGTTAGATATATTTAAAAAAAAAAAATAGTATTGGGCCGAAAGATTATGGGCCTTAAGTCCACGTTAAGCCTTTAATGGGCCGGGCTTTGCACGAACTCATTTGGGCCCATTTGATTAATTGAAATTGAAACAAATGCTACGCAAATCAAAGTATGTGATTCTGAGTTCGAACCGGATTTAGACCGGTGTATAGAATTTCCTTAATATTTTCCTGCATCCCCGTTCATGTAACCTACTTATTTTGAATTACCTCTACGAGTAAATACTTATCTAATTAGTCTATGTATGCAACTAACTAGTTCCTTACCGAACCACCTTTAATGGCTTATCGCTAGTAAAGATAGTTGACAGTTTTCTAGCGCTTCATCATTTAGATCGAAGGCTCTTGTGTCAAGACACATTGTCAAAACTTAGCTCGATGAAGGGGCCATTAATTAACTTTCAAAAAATTGAAGAATGAATATGGCACCGAGTGACTTGAATTTCTCATAGAAGGTGCTGCTAACACCATAAAACAGAGAAATGTTTCGGTCCATATTCTGTATGGGCGTTAGAGCATTGAACATGATGATGTCATCCTCAGCTTCTTCAGACTTATCTTGCTTAGAATTTCAACTTTAATATTTTTATCTTTAATATCTGATATTATTAAATTAAGATTAAAAATTATACTTATAGCTTTGACGTAATTGATTTATATTATCATTTTTTTAAAAAGAATATTAAGAAAAAGCACTTATGGGTCTAATCACCTTTAAGACAACCTAAGCTACCATTCCCATACATTATATTATATTATATATGTATATATATATATATATTTCTCCTATATTTATTATTATTATTATTATTTTCTTTTTTTTTTAATCTCTTCATGGCTGGCTTAGACTTGGGCTTTGCTTCTCACTTTGTTAATCAATTTCAGCACCCTTCCGTCGATCTCCGCCTGCAGCGGCGGCCGGATGCCGACGAAGGTTACGGCCAGTTTCACGACGGTGATGAAGACCACAACATCTCACAACAACCCAACTCCGGCGGAGAAATTATGGGTCGCCGCCCGAGAGGCCGACCGCCCGGTTCGAAAAATAAACCGAAGCCACCGGTTATTAGTACCAGAGAAAGCGTTAACACCCTTCAAGCCCACGTCCTGGAAGTCAACACTGGTTGCAATGTGTTTGACTCGATCGCCACGTATGCTCGGAAATGCCAACGTGGCATCTGTATCCTGAGCGGTACTGGCACCGTCACTAATATTACCTTGCGACAACCTGCGACCGGTAGCGCCGTTATCACACTCTCCGACAGGTATGTTAAACTCAAAATTTTATAGATTAATAATTAGGTTAGTTTTAATTTTAATTTTTTTAATTTATTACAAAGTTAATTGAATTTCATTAAATTTTGTTGGATGATGAAAGTTCCACCTAGGTTAATTTAGGGAATGATCATGGTTTATAAAGGAAAAATACTAACTCTATTTGTATAAAACTTTTTGGAAAACCCTACAGTAAAACCATGAGAGCTTATGGTCAAGGTAGACAATATCATACCATTGTGGAGAGTCGTGTTCGTCTAACATGGTATCAGAGTCATGCCCTAAACTTAGCCATGAGTTTATAACGGGGAACTCTAATGTAAATCCATAAGAACTTATGTTCAAATTAGACAATATCATACAATTGTGGAGAGTCGTGTTCGTCTAACAAATTTGATCTATAATTGCAGGTTTGAGATATTATCTTTGTGGGGTTTGTTTTTGCCTCCGCCGGGGGCGACGAGTTTGAGTATCTTTCTCTCCGGAGGGAAAGGGCAGGTTATCGGAGGGAAGGTTGTTGGCTCTTTGATTGCGTACGGACCGGTGATTGTCATCGCTTCGTCGTTTACCAATGTTGGTTATGAGAGGCTGCCGTTGGACGACGGCGGCGGCGGCAGGGACCCGTCGGGTGGGTTGCCATTCTTGAATATGCCGTTGAACACGTCGGGGAATGAAGAACAGCTGCCGGTGGACGGATGGCGCGGTGGGAGAGCATCTTATTAAGCTTCAAGATTGGGGAAAAAAAGGTTAGGGAAATTGATATAATAATTGTTTAGATTAATGCTAATTTTATTGCGTTTGTGGTTTAAAGATCATTAGAGATTGGAAAACTTCTGTACCAAAACCAAAACCAAAGCAACCAACCCGATGAATTCCAATAATTTTCGGCAAATCTAAACCAGGTTTTCCTTTAAGTTCATCACAAAATATTTCTAGATCCCAATACACCAAATGCTAGATAGCTGATAAGAAGCACAATCCAGAAAACATAATATGTGCTCCGGCCACACTTTCGTAACTCCAAATACCCAGATTCGATATAGTCCTTTCTGTGATACTCCAACCCCCTATGAATTGGTTATTCCTAAACGAGTCATGAAGGGTATAACGAGAAAATTAATAATATTAATATTAGTGATAGTATTATAACTCAAATGTTTGAAAATTAATAATATTTAATTTTTATAATAAATATTTGATTTTTAGATTTTTATAATTCTATAAGAAAAATAGAATTTCATTTAATAACTTAAAAGTTTAGTTTTTATATCTCAAAAAAAAAAAATTAATGTTATATTTGCTAGATATTCATTTTTAGCCAAATTAAATTTACGACTTAATTTGTTTAAAAAATAATTAAAAAAAAATGAGAGACGAGATGTCACGAGGTGGGTGCCACCTATTTCATCTTCCGTTCTCACGAAATTATTTATTTATTTATTTAGAGAATTACCACAGTAAATTTGGTAAATTTGGTAAATTTGGAAGGATCAAGTTCATGTAATTTTACTGTTTATTATTCTTTGATTTTTTTTAATATAATAAATCATAATAAATCAACATATTTCATATATATATATATATAATTTAAATTTTAATATTAACGTAAACCTAATATTTAATTTAAAAATTATAATTAAAATCTAATATATTTATATTAAGCAGAGTAAAAAAATGGCAGTAACGGAGAATCACTCCCTTTCGAAGTGGATTCTAACAGATAAAATGAACATGTATGGTTGAGAAACAAATGAAACAAAACAGTAAATAATAAAAATTATTAGTTTTTGAGAGTAAGAAAATTTAACTACAGTAACTTCTTAGAGGCAGGAGTTCCGGCCATGTAGATGGTGCAGGGGGTTCCGTCCAGTGCCATGCCGGAAGCCATGGAAATGTTGGCGGCGGCGGCGGCGGCGGCGGCGGCGGAAGGTACAAAGGAAGTGGGAGGATTATTGGCATACGTAGCCATTTCATTCTCAGCAATCATTCCAGCTCTGGCCACATGAAGATCCATTTCAGCTTCCGCCTCTTTTGCTAGTCTTACCTCATGAGCCACCTCCACTCTTGCCTTTGCTAGCTCCTTCTCAACCTACAATTCAACCCTTTCATATAAACCCTAAATTTTCGTCTCGATTTAAAATCGTACACGTCTTTTTTATCACGGAGTTTCATTTTTTCTTAATAAAACGTCTCATTTCTATCCCAAATTTTAGCTTTTTAAAACATTTTTTAGATTTGAGCTAAAGAGTGTGAAATCGAGTAGATCAGTTTCTACACCAAGAAATGTTTTGTTCCTCACTCCAACTGATATTAGATCTTTATTGTCACATCGCTCGATGTCTGGCTCTGATACAATTTACAAATAGTTATACTAGGAAGAGGTTACCACACCCTTTCCCCACTCAAACTGATTTGTAATCTCACATTAAGCTAGTGATCGATTGTTGTTTGGTTCTAGGTGGACGAAGAGTTAGATGAGGAAAAAAAGTATTGAATGAGCCGAGCCGCAACTATGTTGTAGCTATCTCTTAATAATCGGATAGAGATTCAAAACCTACATGGTCTCCTAATATCAAACACCATTATAAAAGTTCTTTCTCATACACATTTAACAGTGAAAAACTGTCAGCTCATTTTCAAATGTGATACTAACATGAACGGATTTACGTGTTTACCTTCTCTTCGGCCTTTGCCTCGGCCTTGGCCTTGCGCAGGACGCTCATGTCGTGGAGTTTTTCCTTGACAGCTTGCATTTTTAATTTTTTTAATTTTTTTTTTTTTTGGAATAAAAAAAAATGGAATAGTTTCTTTAAAGTGATTTGAATGTTAATGATTAAATCTAAGTTTTGGTCATATTTATAGTTTAATTGCATTCACTCACTTGGTTTTTATTTGGACAATTGTAGAATAAGCATGAATTTTAGGAAAGAATTTGTGGTTCAATTGAAGCCCACTCTCAAATAATTTGTGGCCTTCGCAATTTCATTTGTCCTACTCTCAAGTGAAAACGTGGTTTTTTTTTTTTTTTTTTTTTTTTTTTTTTT